AATGAGTCCCCTTGCATTGAGCGTCTTTAGGGAGACTGCAGACTTCAGGTGGAACTCATACGGTCCAACGGTAAAGACGATGCAAAAAATGATCGGCACCTGATACCGGTGCGGTAAGAAACTGACTCCATAGTCCATCTTGAGTTAAATCAGACCAAAAATGGAGCATTGTTGCTATATCTGTCCGATCCCCACTTTATAGCCTTGACAAAGAGTTCAAAGGCGCTTACGCAGCCTTGTAGGCGATTAATTATTTTTCATCTTATAGTCTCTCCCTTACAGACGCCAGCCCCTCAATACTTTATCGCTATTTCCATGGCAAATATTCTGATTTAATTCCACCATTTCAGACATTATAGCTAAGACCCGCCATGCCATATACACAGGCGAACAATTTGTACGAAGGAAATTCATTTCGGACAGCTTTTTTTCCAAGAGTGGAAACTTTATGGAACACAATCCTAAAAGGATGCTTCCTCGAACTCTAAAATCTTAACCATTTCAAGTCAAATCTAGAGTCAACCGTTACCTATCCTCATAATCAGCACTTACACCTCCTTCCTAACCCTCATTTAGTAACCCTCTACCTTGGGTGACTCTTAGGCCTTGCATCGAGTGTATATTTAGTAAGAAAAAATAAATGAAAAGATATATACACTAACAGATATAATATTCTAGAATATATACACCATAGTTGTATGCGCATTTGTTTGTGAGTGTTTCTGGATATATAAGTTTATAGATTGTGCCTTTGAGTTAATACAGTGAAGTGTAAATTTACAAAACTAGCAAACACTGATAAGCTACAATTTAAAAAATTCTAGTCGTTACTAATCAATACTAACCATTATTACTTTTCCACAAGACGTGTCTTTTCATAGAACAGACTCCCGTGTGAGTGCTGAACCTCTTCAAGTCAAGACTCAATATCTATCACTTCTCTTTATTCTTAATTTTTTTTATTCTTAACTTTTTCATTTTAAATTCATTTTTCATTCATATCCCACACTTCATTCATCATTACCGTTACAATAATTAACCATCTAACTTGAGTGGTTACCGAGCCTTGCATTGTTCAAATTCTAATAAAAATACTACATTAATTTAAAAGCATCTATTCTGACTGTAAATTTACAACCTGCGGTAGAGTCGAAGTAGTTGCGATAATTAAAATGAAAATACTAGTCAAGCATTTATAGTTGTTGTCAATGTTTCAGCAAATAAAAATTCAATATAGCATTAATTCAGCATTAGTAATTTTTCTTAAATAACATGTACGAAAACGAGTTTAGCTGCAGTCATTTCCTTATCGTTAACTCAAATACCTGTTTAATATTTCCCTTTAAGATTCAAAATAGTTATTTATTTACCTGCTTAGATCGAAATAAAAGTATAACGTTGTCGTTAATCAAATACATCACTGCTTCCTTTAAAAGATTTAAATAATTAAAACAATATAAACTGAAATTTGAAATATATAGAAATGATTATTTATCTTACTTATCTAGTACGGGTTTTAAGACTAACATAATGGACACTCGGTATTTGAAAACAATACTTCAATGATTGGCAATAATAATGGGGAATAATGAAAAAGAAAAGAAAACATAACAAAATAAAACAAAAAATACAAATTTTAAACCAATAAAATGATGAGTAAATAAAAAGAAAAATACTTATACTTGCCTCAAAAAGAAAAAAAAAATAAACAAATTAACAGACTGAGGGGGAAAAACAGGCATTTTACAACAAGAATGTAGTGAGCAAGACGAGAAACAAGCCGAGACAAAATCAACATAAACTCTCAGACAAAAAAAAAAAGAAAAAGAAAAAGAAGCAAATTTGATAGACATGTTTGTACCAACATATATTCATTTCTAAAGCAATACATTTTTTCTGTAAGAATAGTGAATCCTAACTCATTAAATACTTCTAATCGAGAATATTCGAATATGAACAAGAACATTTGTATTATTATATATATATATATATATATATATATATATATATATATATATATATAACATTGTGTGTTTGTGTATTTGTATATGTATGATGTATGTATATATATTTAAATATAAATATTTTACATTCGCTTGTATAAATTTGACCTTGTCATTAACGTATATTCAGATATGAATATGAACGTACAAAGCATACACTACACATCCGTATATATATATATATATATATATATATATATATATATATATATATATATATATATATATATATATATATGTATATATGAATAAAGACAGAAAAAACTTTTCGTCCTCTGATGGATTTTATCAAGTCAAATGCAAGGATATTATTTCGTAGCAGATATTTATAACAAGTGCAGAAATGTTATTAGTTTTTAAAAATGTGTTTAATTTAATAACGTTCAAAAATATTAATCAGTGTAGCTTTTGTCTTTATTCATATTCTTCTTTTACAGATATACACTATCTGAAAATTTTACACACACGCACACACACAGACATATATATATATACATATATATATATATATTTAATGCGTGCGTGCGTGTCTATATATATATATATATATATATATACGCACACACACGCATTAAATATGTATACAGACACACACACACACACATATATATATATATAATGCGTATGCGCGTGTGCATGTGTGTCTGTATGTTTGTGTTGCCAGTGTACGTTACAGAAATTACATACAAACTCCATATAGATAGATAGATAGATCGATCCATGCATGCATACATACATATATATTAACATATATCAGAACAATGTTAGTAAAATTAATGTCAAAGTGGACATTTTGCTTTCTTCTATTACAACTACAATTGAAAAGAATTTATATTAGCTTAACATAAATTTTGTTACAATTAATTCTAAAAAATAACAGTTTTAATTAATACAAAACCAAATAATAATAAAAATAACGTAAGTATTGAAAGATGAATTTACTCTATCAGCTGTAATAATGGCCACAAATAACATATAGGTGAAACCTCGAGGAATTTAGATAAAAGCTTATATGAACACAAAAGGGATCTTTTATGAAGCAACACACTCAGCACATTAGTTGCCCACCGTAATGAGTCTGGCTATAATTTTGATTTAAAAAATGCTATTTTAATTAAAAGTAAAAGCAAGAAATTGTAGAGAAAGTGCTTTAATCGCTAGATAATCCAAAGTAAATTTGCGTTCAGGTTTTTACAATATTTCACCTTTCTTCGCAGATCTTTTACAGGGTGCAACGGGCAAATTGTCGTCATTTTATATTTTTAATTTCGCGCATGCGCTTTGTTTTTTATTTTGTCGACTGCACAGTATATTAATATCAGATGGGCACCGTATTTTAGAAAAAGAGCACCATGACGCAATTCACTCTATCAGAAATTTGGAAACAGCATGCTGTACTGCTTGGCATTCGCGCTAGAAGATTTAATATGAACATTTCAGCGTATTTAGGTCTCAGTCTGTGGACAGTGCAGAGGATTCGGAAAAAAGTGGATGAGTCTAATGCTAATTACGAAGGTCCGGCAATTCGGAAAACTCCCTCTGATCGTTCTGATAAGAAAAGAACTCCTGAATTTGTTGGTGAGGGACCCAGACTCAACACGGAGGCCTACATCAAGTGCTTTGTGGAGGTAGTGCTACCCTTTGTGAAGAGGGTGGCTGCTGGAAGACCGTATGTCTGGCAACATGGCTTACATGCCATACAAACAGGAGAACTCAGTCATGGCATATAAATAAATAAAAAAGCAACTAAATGAAATTAGCAAAACTATATGCCCAACCATAGTTGGCGAGTAGACATAGCGAGTAGCGTAATTTTTTCCACTTTTTTATTAATTTACCTTATATATATATATATATATATATATATATACAGAGAGAGAGAGAGAGAGATAGAGAGAGTGAGAGAGAAAGAAAGAAAGATACATAGACATTGTTTAATCAAGGATAGAGGGTTTGCAGATATAAATAATGTTTTTCATAGTGCTGATTTAACTGTTTGAAATCTATCTATCTATCTATCTATCTATCTATCTATCTATCTATCTATCTATCTATCTAAACAGTGTTGATGTAGAATGTTGACTAACAGTTTCACGCCTCAATCGATCATCAAACAATGTGGTGTGAGGATCGCTTCATGCATGAAACTGCCATTCACTATGGAGTGTTTATGTTCATATCCACATTGCTTATATCTACATAGATCTCCGTTTGAGAACTCTTCCTCCCTATCTATACCAAATTAAATATATATATATATATATATATATATATATATATGTATGTATGTATGTGTGTGTGTATGTGTAATCATAACAGAGCGTGTTGAAAAGTTCTCACCCCAGTTAATTCTGAAAACAGACTAAACACCAGTATATACGTTGTGAGGACTTCCTGATCTCGCCGAGAACCTTTCAGCAAACCTTCGTATGTATATATATATATATATATATATATATATATATATATATATATATATATATATATATATATATATATCCATAAATCAATGCATAAAGGGCATCTATCTATCTCTCTATTTATCTAAACAGAAATTTGACATTTTCTCATAGCTGATAAGTTAAGTTATGTTTAATTTAACACGTCACATATAAATATGTGTATATGTATGTATGTATACTTAATTAATGAATTCTTATATGAATGGTGAGTCAGATGTGTGTATATAAGTGAATAAGATGACAAAGACGTGATATTGCAACAAAAAATAAAGAAATAGTTGTGCATACAATGAAAATTGCTACAATTACCTGCACAAGAATATGCATGCATTATTGACTGAAACGAACATTTTGTAAATATATGGATACAAGTCAAAAGTAAAGCGGCAGTTTTTTCTACCTTGACCACTAAATGTGATTATCATTCCTTATTTGCTGATGTAAATAAATTTGTTTCGCTGGCATTGCAAACATATATATATATATATATAAAATAAGCAATATACTCAAGAAAGAATCTCATCATCGTAAACTGATGCCTGAATTGAAGAAGATATTTTTTCTGGTTTTCGAGACAATAAAGTTAAAATGAGGAATTATAGGTCTGACGTTGCAATTATTTGTTTATTTCAAAAAATAATATAACGACTTTGATAGGGAACCTGGAAAATCGTAGAAGACGGTGGGAGATAGTTAAAAGTGGAGAGAAAACAATTACCGAAAAAGAAAGATTTCAGAATAATTTATAAATAGAAATGTAAATCCGCTAATTAGAACTTGTGTGAAAATCATTTCTTTCTTTCTTTCTTTCTTTCTTTCATCTATACACTTTTCTTTTATCTTTTTTCAGTCTGCTATCTCAACTGTCTTTGTCTTTTTCGTTCTTGAGTTTTGATTATCTATCTATCTATCTATCTATCTATCTATCTATCTATCTATCTATCTATCTATCTATCTAGATTCCCATCTCTCTCTCTCTCTCTCTCTCGATTTATCTATCTATCTATCTATCTATCTATCTATCTATCTATCTATCTATCTATCTATCTATCTATCTATCTCGATCCCCATCTCTCGCTCTCTCTCTTTCTCTGAATCGATTCATCTATCTATCTATCTATCTATCTATCTATCTATCTATCTATCTATCTATCTATCTATATCTCGATTCCCATCTCTCGCTCGCTCTCTCTCTGAATCGATTCATCTATCTATCTATCTATCTATCTATCTATCTATCTATCTATCTATCTATCTATCTATCTCACTCGATTCCCATCTCTCTCTCTCTCTCTATCTATCTATCTATCTATCTAACTGAAAGCCGAGAAATTTGTGTATTTTGTAGACAGTATTCGTGTCCCTGTAAAATGTTACTGTTCAATATTTATTTTAAGACTGTTGATCTATTAATTCTATCGCTATTTCGATAGCAAATGTTCAAATGAACCCCATTCTTTCGTACCACCAGTTTAGAATTTTCCCGCTCGAACACGTTATGCTACTTTCACGGAGTTAAATCATCTTCGTTTCGTCTGTGTTCCAAATGTAAGAAAAAAAAAGATCAATTCAGACAGCTTTTTCCCAAGAACTGACACTTGGTGCAACAGACTACCGCTCATTGCCAGGATTTTAATTGGTTTTCAAGTCTTGTTGAGAGAAACCACATTCATCATATTTGAACTGCGCCAGATAAAACTGCATAGAAATATGCGTATTCGGCTCACAATACACATAATCACACACAAAAGACATATACACTAACGTATATACACCCATATAATATTACAGAATATATACAATATTGATGTATGTGTATTCGTGTGTGCACAGATTTGTGTAAGTATATGTATATAGATGTGTGTTTGAGTGAAGTCGAGTTACTAAAAATGAATTTAATAATACTAACCATTGTTAACATTACACAGTTTCTCTCAAAGAATTCTTTTCCCCCAAGAATAGCCAATTTATAGAAGAAACTCCCGTGTGGGTAGTTCCCTGATCCCTACAATCTCTATCTGTTCACCTTATCCTCATGTTTTTTATTTCTTACCGTTTCCTTTTCCATTCATATCACATATCTCATTTAGCATTATCATTTTCTTGGCTGTAACCCTCTACCTCGAGTAGCTCCCGAACTTTTTATTCGGTGAAATATTCTATAAACAGAAAACAAAAAAATTAAGAATATTCTGCTTTGGCTCCATTCGCACTCAGTATATTCATAGATTTGTAAAATATTTAAAACCTACATAATATCTATTCCCGTATTTCTATTTTCTTTCCTCAGTCTTTTTGTCCGAATCTATTTTTTTTTTAATATTGTAAATTATAGTTGAAAATAAAACGGACAGAAACAGAATAAAAGGACGCAAATGGCATTAGAATAGAGATAAATAAAAATAAATGGCATGTTTTATAGTTTAACGTTTCATTGGAATGTATTTGTTGAAAACTTTTAATGTACTTCGAAAAAAAGAACATTACTTTACTTTTCCTCTTTTAAAAGATTTCAACCAAAATCTTTTGGTGAGTTGAAAGGATTTAATCCTCTTAAACCAACCTAATAAAAGACAAGAATTATATTAATAAATATTTTGAAAAAATTACATTACTCGACTTATGTTTTCATTTTTATTTTTTTTTAAGAAAGATAAATGCAATTATTTTAAATTTGATTCTTATACTTAAGAAAAATAAACTTTACGAAAGAAATAAAAGGAAATTTATTTATCTATCTATGATTCTTTTCGTATCTATCTATCTATCTATCTATCTATCTATCTATCTATCTTAGTCAATTTTATTTTAGTGTTTGAGCAAACATCACATTTTTTCAAAGAGTGAATATCCTTCCGACCTAATTTCACTGACTGAAAAAAGACAGTAAAAAACAAAAAAGAAAAAGAAAAAAAAAACGAAAAAAAAAAAACCCCGGAGAAATTCATGTATTCATAAAATAACGTTTATTTTAATAAAATAATGTCGGATTAAATATATATAGTGAATTCGCCCCCAAAATATATACACACTTC